TCGGTCAGCAGGCTTCCTTGGCTAAAACCCTAGAGTCTCTTTCCATTGATGTATGCTGTGTCTCTGAAACACGCATACAGGATCCCAGTGTGGTCATTCACTTGACCTCACCTCGGCAAAACGGAGAGCCAACGAGATACACCCTCCGTGTATCTGGTGACCCGATGGCCAGTTCTCGTGGACTGGCAGGTGTAGGCATAGCACTAAGCATGAGGGCCGAACAAGCACTGCTAGAGTGGATCCCCGTCAACAGTCGTCTATGTGCTGTTCGGCTGAACGGCTACGTAAGAACTCGGAAGGATAGGGACACACGTCGTTGCCTTTTTGTCGTTTCTGTCTACTCTCCCACCGACTGCAGCTCAGATGATGTGAAAGATGAATTTTACAGAAAGCTTTCTGAACTTCTTCAGAAAGCTAAACGCTCAGACATAGTACTCGTAGCAGGTGATTTTAATGCTCAGATAGGTTGCTTAAACCAAACAGAAAGGCATTTAGGTGGATATTTTAGTATTCCGACACAGCGAACAGATAATGGTGATCGTCTGCTGCAGCTATGCTCAGACAATCGTTTATTTTTAGCAAACACAAATTTTAAGCATAAGGAGAGACATCGTCTAACATGGCGACCCCCTACACCAAACCAACGATGGACTCAAATAGACCATATTGCCATCAGTCATCGTTGGAGAGGGTCGGTAGAAGATTGTCGCTCATTCTGGGGTACCTGCTTGGACTCCGACCATGCCCTAATACGGGCACGCATCTGCTTGCGCCTCACTGGACGCAAAAAAGCAACATTAAAAAGACCCGTTAGAACTGAGTTGAGTAACGAGAAAACCAAAAGTAGGTTCCAGGAACAACTGAGGTCACACTTAGGTAGTTGTGAAGACGAGGCTGACCCAGATGTTGCTTGGAAGGGCATACAATCAGCTGTGGAAACAGCAGTGACATCTATTAGTGACTTAAACCACAGAGTTGCAAGGAACCAGTGGATTTCTTCAAGGTCTGTCACACTGATGGATTCTCGCAAACTCGTCCCATCAGGTCCTGAACATGATGAAGAGCGAAAACAAATCAGATCTAGGTTAGGAAAAAGTCTAAGGAACGACCGTGAGCAGTGGTGGGTAACGAAAGCAAAAGAGATGGAAAAGGCGGCGACTATAGGGAACACAAGACAGCTTTACAGACTAATAAAAGAAACTGGAATTAATAAGTCAAGTGTAAGTGAGATTATTTCGGAAAAAGATGATACTCTCATCTGCTCCCAGTCCAGACGTTTAGAACGATGGGCGGAACATTTTAGAGAACAGTTCAGCTGGCCTTCAGCTACTCTACAACTACCCTCCATTTCCAGACAATGTGAATGGAACATTGAAGTAGGTCCTCCAACTCTTGCTGAAGTTCAAAAGGCTATAGTTAATCTGAAACGAGGAAGGGCAGCTTGTCCAGATGGATTGGCTCCAGAGGTCTTTAAGGATGGTGGTCCAATTTTAGCGATTAGGTTGACTAATATTTTAGCTAAGATCTGGGAATTAGACTTTATCCCATCTGACTGGTCGCAATCACTTATCGTCCCAATATATAAGAAAGGGTCAAAATCATCCTGTGATAACCACAGAGGGATTAGTTTAACAAACATAGTATCTAAAATACTGGCCTCGATAATTATCAGACGTCTAACTAAGACTCGTGAACTACAAACTCGAGAGAACCAAGCTGGCTTTAGACCTGATCGTGGCTGCATCGACCACATATTCACCATTCGTCAGGTTCTAGAACACAGGCATACCTATCGGCGTCCGACGATGGTGGTCTTTCTTGACTTAAAAGCAGCGTTTGACTCTGTAGACCGCGAGACTCTGTGGCAGTGTCTGTCATTGAAAGGTGTACCTCAAAAGTACATAAACCTTGTGAAGGCTCTTTACTCGAACACTACTAGTCGAGTCAGAGCTTATGGCGAACTGTCATCTACTTTTGCAACTTCAAGTGGTGTCCGTCAAGGCTGTCCACTTTCTCCATTTTTGTTTAACTTCATCATAGACCTATTGATGGAAATAACACTCTCGTCGACTGAATTCTCGGGTATTGATCTCCTGCCAGGAGGTCCACTTATCGACTTAGAATACGCAGATGATATAGTCCTGTTTGGTGAAGACGCTGACAAAATGCAGAGTCTTCTGGTAGCACTAAGCAACAATGCCAGAATGTTTGGGATGCGCTTCTCTCCCTCTAAATGCAAGTTGTTGCTTCAGGACTGGTCTGCGTCAACACCTGAACTAAGGATAGGGAGTGAAGTAGTCGAACGCGTCGACAACTTCACTTATCTTGGAAGTCTGATCAGCCCTAATGGGTTGGTGTCTGACGAAATCTCAGCACGGATTCGAAAAGCTCGTTTGGCTTTTGCCAACTTACGTCACCTTTGGCGGAGGCGAGATATCCGTCTATCAATAAAAGGACGAGTATACTGCGCGGCAGTCCGTTCTGTCTTACTTTACGGCAGCGAAACATGTCCTTTAAGAGTAGAAGACACCCGTAAACTACAAGTATTTGACCACAGATGCCTTAGAAATATTGCTGGTATCTGCTGGGATCACCGGGTAAGTAATAGTGAGGTTAGACGTAGGGTATTAGGGAATGATGGTAAATCAGTTGATGAGGTTATGAATCTTCATCGACTGAGATGGTTGGGCCACGTATTACGTATGCCTGAACACCGATTACCACGACGTGCAATGCTAACCGGTGTAGGGGATGGTTGGAAGAAAGTTAGGGGCGGCCAAACCAAAACGTGGCATCAGTGCCTGAAGTCACTAACTTCTAGTCTTAGGCATGTTGGTAGATGCAGACTACTTGGTTGGGGTCCGCGTGACTTTCGTAACCAATGGTTGGAGACTCTTGGTGACATGGCTCAGAATCGATCACAATGGCGTCGGTGTATACACTCTTTGTCTTCCCTTAAACTAAGAGATTAAAATCACTTCATATCTTTCTTTCTATGAACTAATTCTTCCTTCCTATACTATATCCTTATTGCAACCTTTGACCTAACCACTCCTATGAATCCGGTGTTCATCTTGTTGTGCTAATGAGGTATGGCAACCTGGACCGATGCACATATGTGCCTGGTCCTACGTTGTAGCTGACTGACTGACTGACTGACTATCATACAAATAGGCTGAATATCAAAACAGCTTGAAATAATAATTGTATTACACTAATTTTTAATTATTTATGCATCATTGGCTATGATAATAATCATGGGATGTTATATTTCTCCTATAACAGAAATATATTCTGAACAAACGAGAAAAGTCTCTCATCTACCAGTCTCGTTTTAGATTTGGTACTATGACAATTGATTGACTGCTTGTGAATTCCATATTTTCATTGTTTGACTATTCTCAATGGCCACAGCTAGATATGATTAACGAAAGTAAGGTTCATCTAAGGCATATCATCCAGTCTCCAGTCATTGATCTCAGTTATCATACGAACCCCTTCCCAACCAGATAGTCTGATACATACATAACAATATGATTTCTTTTCTTTCAGACGGTTCATGCATTAACAAGCTCTCCAAGAAATTCACAAGGAAAGAAACAAAATCATGAAAATATCGTTTCCGTGACCAATCGAGTTCTAAAGCGTTTAATCCATTCCTCCCACCTCCCACATCACCAAAATTAACATTGTGGCAAAATTGCCTAAAGCCAAATCAGTTGCTTCTATTTTTTGTATTTATCCCTAATAAGTGCATCGAATGTTAAAATCGAAGTGATAACATCTTATCCTTTATTCATTTAAAGAATAACACTAAATAACATCTGCTTAACACAAAGATCCATTTAATATAAATCATAAACTATTTAACTTGACCAACGTGTGCACCACTAATTAATGTTGCAGAAATATGCTATTTTTGTATTACATTATATATATATATATTTTTATATATATATTTCCTTATCGATCCTTTTTAGATTAAAGTTATTTTTGTTCTCTTTTGTGCATTCTTTCCTATACACATTGCCGTTAAACAATTTCATTCATTTTTTCAAAGTATCAGTTGTGGCTTTATTTATCGTTTCGATTGGTTGAGTATGTGTTAAGCACAATCAGGCTATTTAGTCAAGTTAAAACTCACCTAACTTAAAACTCAATTTACTGTTTCAGAGTAGGGAGTCACACAATTAACGAACTGCTATTCAGATTTTGTATTTGACGGTTCGATTAACTCGAATTGAAATCAGTTTAAGACTTAGCACATTTTTTATTAATGTAACTACTGACTATTAAAGTCTGACACTATTTGAGTACCCAGAAAAAAATCCATTCTCCTGTTATAACACGAAGGAGTTCATATATTTTTTCAAATGTAACTAATTTGAAAAATGTCTGTGCAATTTAATATTTAACTGATCGTACTGGTATGCAATATATAGATCATCAAATCTATATCTGAAATGAATGATAGTGATACATAAATCATCTTTTTCTTAGGTCCTTGCTTTGTGTGTATAAATGGTTAGTCTGATGTCACTGACTAACGTAATTAAATTTTCGTACTAAAATTAACAATTAATCAGGGAAAAATAACATATTTAACTGGTTTGTTGGTTATTCTTTTTTAGTACACACATAAACCTAAGTTTCCGTTCCAACAGGAATGTCACAAAAAGTTGAAAAGCTACTAAAAACTGAACACTTTTGAAACTTGACTACGCATCGATGAATCACCTCGTAATCGAAATCATAAATCTCCAGTTTATGATTGAAACAACACTGACTCACACTTCGAATTTAGGAGTTAAGCATTCATACTAACCCGAATAAAATAAGCCATTTGCTGTTATGAAGTGAATTAGAGTTCGGTATTTTCTGATTACGTACGATTGGGAGATCCTATTACGAAATGAGATCTGGATAGACCGGATTACTAATACAGATAAAAATTCATCAACAATCCTTCTTGCGGTTGAAAATGAGAGAATATAAGTTTTTGAAGGAAGACATTTTAATAAAGACCCTAGAAGAAATAATTTGCACTCCATTTTATCCAACTATAAATCGACTATTCAATGATGATTGATTACTTGTTTTATGAAACTGAGCATTTGTCATTCGACACAAAATCAAACGGAATTAATCAATACGAGGGAAAAAGTAAATAACTGAGTATTGAATAATCGGTACAAGTGAAAACACACTCAAAGCCAATGAATAGAATTTAGTAGGAACAAATTAATACAACGAAAAACATAGAAAGGTGACTGGATGAAAATCACCTTAAATTGCTAAGTGCCGTGTGTCCAACAATTGCTGACGATTTTTATTTCTTTCATCCTTTAATTGAATTTGAAGACGCTATTTTCTTGTTATTCCGTAGCTCTTTCAGTTTAATAGATTTTCGCTTTCTTTTCCAAGGTCATTGTATATGCATTTAACTGCATGTGTTAGACGCTTAAATTGATTTTCTTTGATCTTTTTTAACGAATCTTCTATGCACGATTTGTCTCTTAAAGTGACTGAGATCAGTAGAGAAAAGGACGTTGTATCCAGATATCTAAGCGAGGATTGAAGTCATTGATGTTAGTTTCAAATAAATAAAACATATACAATAGCTTTTTAGTCAACCAGTCACAGAACTTTGCAAATTTTGAACGAAAATCTGCTCATAGTGAGTATTGGTTAGATGTTGATGTATGAACTAGGAGTATATTAATGAACCATGTTATAGTTAGTTCGTACTTTAGAAAGTCAACAGTCTAGAGATCATTACTTTTGAAATAAAATGCGGATGAACAGCTTGGAGCTAGTTGCTAGACTGAATTAAGTAGCTAAAGCTCCGGTTCTAGACTTGGACTAGTATTTAGACTGCGTAATTTTAAATTGGTTAGGAAGAATATCATATTAAAATTTACCAGACGTTATTAATTAATAATCCAAAGTTTAGATATCTCTAAGCCTCCTAGTATATTGGAAATTAGGATGCTGATATATAATGCAATAATGACAAACAAATTAAATTTAATAGATGGAATTCACCAACCCAACTTCAAATAAGGTCGAATTTTATTAATAAAATAATACGTCCAATTGCATTGTATGTTTCATTGCTTCAAGAAACCATAGGTTTAAGATAAAACTGTTTCATTTGGATACAAAGCATTGCAGAATATCAGTAGAATATACAAAAATATTTTTAAGCGATACAGTGCGATAAGTAAATGAGTATATCAAATCATATTGCTCACAAAAAATAAATTAAATGAATTCATGTAACGGTATGACTAATATTTTGTGCAGTCAATTATGTATTCATCCAATGTGAAAACCAATCAATTTTTGTTGTCCATGCACCAGAATAGGCTTCATTAAATTTATGATGAAAATAGGCAAGTGCTTCTTGTTCATTATCAATTTCGACAGCTAAAGTCTTTCTTACATGTTCCAAATCACACACTGAAGTTAGTTCGGGTAATCCAGAAGGTAACATCATAGCTAATAATGTTAATATGAGATTTGAATGTTTGCGTAACAGAAGGTAAGCTTTACCACATAAATCAGTGAATTCTTGAAAATACATATTACTATATATTCCTCCGATAGTATTATGGATGACTGATGGTGGAGTATTAGTTGTGGTTGATATTGTACCAGCATCAGGATTACCACGTGCAATTACTGTAATAAAATCTTTTGTCAAAACAAATGGTACACGTTCACGAGTAAAACCAAACTTCTTCTTACGATTATCTAAAATGTGCCCAAAATCAATATGAAACAATCGCCCAGTTGAATCAACCATTATATTATCTGGATGTCTATCACGAATTCCTAAAATAAATGTAGCAACACAATAACCAGCACATGACATAGTAAATGTACGTATCATTCGTTCATATGCAGAATTATCACCTAATGGTGAATGATTTAACTGTCTTGCCTTTTGTTTAGCATGTTGCATTAACCATTTATATAACTGTGATGAATCAATTTGTAAAGCAGAACGTAAACGTTCACCTTGTATAGACATTACAGTGCGTGAATCACGTACTGCTTCAATAATTCCCATTTCAGATCCTGTTGCAAAACAACCATATGATGTTAAGCACATATCCATACCTTCTTCTTTCCATATACGGTCCATTAACTACAAAATAAATATAAAACCGCAATTACATGCCTATTTTTTACTGAATAAATAAATGTTAATTTACGTATTAGTTGGTGGTTGATGGGTTAATAAACTTATTGATCATAAGGATTAACTGAATCTCATTTGATGTAGTCAGAATTCAAGAAGGCGTAAAAGCAATATAAAAGATTAAACTGGTGTACGTGAAAAACTGTTCGTAAAATAATCATTACCATTACTTGTAATCGTCCGAAATTAAATATGGCATGAATTGTTAAATCTTAGGTGTTTTATGACATTATTACGTCTGCCCTGTGCAATCTAATTATCAATAGCTCTTCAGTTGACCTCAGTTCGTAATGACATTACTCTTAAACTATAACGAATTTATCAGTATGTTTGACAATTTTATCTAAACGATATCATACTCAAGTTCACACGAATAACTAAAATCGGTTGGTCTAATTGTATAAAGAATCTGGTTACTAATATTTTTAATCATTTTCTGTGTCTCAGATTAAGTTATGACATTGTGTATGTATTACAAGAAACATGTATTGTATGTAACAATTCTTATCACATATCTATGCAACCTATTTTTTTCTGACCGGTAAATAAGCCATTATAGTCCGATTAGGTATTTCATAACATTGTATGCAAGTACATTTCCTTATAATTATGATCGTAAGCCTATTTTTTGTGGAATATCATTAGACGCACGGCGATCCTTATACTTCTTCATTCCGTTTTGTCCAATTAAATTATTAGTTCTAAATTGGTAATAATTAGTTACTTAGTTCTTAAAATTCATATAAAATGTAAGTATTTATTTATTATTAATGGGTTGTCTGTAGAGCACCTTTTCAAATTAAGGACGTTAATAACTTACAAATTGCAAGCTCTATCGTTTCTCATGTCACAGACACAGATAACGCATTCTTGAGTGCATTGCATCTGGTAGCGTTCCAATCACTTGAAGCGTTAAAGAGCGCCATCAGAACTTATGAAATGGCGACGTACTGCCATTATGCACTGCGCGATTCTCATTTCCATAAGGATCAAAAGCCATACATTAAATATGTTTGTTTGAGAAATGGCCGTAGAAAAACTAGCGGATCCTCACAGCCGATTGGACGAAGGAGATCATTTGAATACTGTTACTATATTGTTCATGAAGGACTGCTATGAGCACTCAGTGTCGAGCCATCATTTATTGTAAGTTTGTTGAAGGTTACTGAACTGTTGTTCGTGGGAATGTGTATAACAATCATGAGTGTAATTCCCTGAGGTGTGACAACAATTCTTGGATGCGCACGTTAACGGATGTGGAATTTGAAACAAACTGTGATATATGCAATCTTGCTTAGCCACCAAGTGAAACTGGTGATAGAATCACTTGGAATTTTAGTCGTTGCAATACAGTGTTTCATTCGTTTTGTGCCTGGGACCCACAATTACAAGGATCTCATTGTCCCACTTGCTATGCGAAAACGGAATTGTTCAGGACAATCGAAAATGTTAAGAGACCGAATGAAGGTATTTTTGGAGCCACGCACAATTTATTATAAATTCTATTTTTTTAATTCGTGACAAATTACATCAAAAAAATTTTGTTATTTTTAAACGATAGTTTTGCGTCTGGTATGAATTTTCAGTGAAGTAATTTCATTTGATTCATTTCGCATTACTTCGGTTAGAAATTCACTAGCCAGTGTTTTCTTTAAGCACGAAAACGTAGAAAAAACTTACAGCCTTACAATAACCAAATGTTTATTATCTGCGCTAAGGCTCATTTGTATTAGTATTCTTAGATAACCAATATATATTATCTTAGCATATGGCTTCATATTAACTGTGAATTAAATGAACTAATCATTATATTATTTATCAGTGTCTGTGAACTCATTTCCTACATAAAACAATTCAGTCACTACTGTTAAAAAAGTTTTTTGATATTTAAGTTTTTCACTTGTTGAAATCATGAGTCAATTGAAGCTAGACCACTATGGAAAACCTGGAAGCACTGAACGGCCGTTTCGTCCTAGTATGGGACTCCTCAGCAGTGCGCACCCACGATCCGCCCCCCAGCGGGACTCAGACCCAGGACCTATCAGTCACACCAGGCGCTTAACCAACTAGACCACTGAGCCGGCATCCAACGATGTTACTGTTTAACTTCAACCAATCCACGAAGTTGCGCCACCGTACACCATTGTCTTCAGTGAATTCCCATCTCACAACAAACCTGGTTGAATTCCACTAGTAACGACTGATAACGGCCGTCCAGTGCTTCCAGGTTTTCCATAGTGGTCTAGCTTCAATGGACTCATGATTTCAACAAGTGAAATTTCTAAAAATCTCCACAAAACCCATTCTGATAATAATTTAAGTATTTACTAAAATTAGTACGAATAACGTTGATTTACTGTACTATAAGTTGGAAATTAGATACTAAGATTAATTCACTGGTACAACAACATTATGTCTATGGTAAAGGTCAACTGAAATAACACTAAATTATAATCAAGCCATAGTGATTAAGCTATATAATCATTTGAAATTAATAATGATAATGTGATTATCGCTCACACACTGAATCGTCTAACAATAGTACATGCAAAATTTAATAAGAATGTTTCAATGTTCTTTACATTGTTCAGCTAGACACATGTAGGCTTTTATTTAGCACATCGAAATTAAACATTGCTAAATGTCAATTGATATAGTTGACCTTATTCATATTTAGTAGTATAATCGACGTAAAAATTATGTCAGACGTAGGCCTGTCAATTTGCGCATAATATGACCAATATTTCAATTACCTGTCGAAAATAGTTATTTTTGTAACGTTAAGCTGTTTAAGGCTTAATATTAACCTATTCAAATATTACGAGTATGTACATAGAATTTGTAAGTATCCTTGTAATATGTTTAACAAATAAAACCGATGATTTGAAAAATGATTCCAGACGTATGCGATGTCACTTATAAATGACATCAGAAAATTAAGATAATGATTTGATCAAACTGTATACTTACAAAACATTTGCTATTGACATTACTTGAAAACCTACCGCACACTTACCAAACACAATAACTGAATACATAGAAAAGCTTATTTATATTAATTATAAACTGCTCAACTACATAGAATGGACAATCCATAGTAAGAAACAATTTTTACTTGTGCAGTGTAACGTAATTAGAATCTTGCGTTTATTAACGATACCCTTTTCAAAGGGAAACTTGTAGCGAGCCCATTCAACAAAATGATAGAGTTGGGTATCATACGCCTCTCCGATAGTGTGTGGGCATCACCGCTTCATATGGTGCCCAAGAAAAACTCTTCCGAAGTTGGACCTTGCGGTGACTATATAGCTCTCAACAGCCGGACTATTCGAGCAGATATAACCAACTACGTGCGACAATTAAAACAGCAGATGGAATTCATTAGGTCCGTTGAACCACGAACACAAAAGGTAAGGTCGTTCGTACCCAATGAACTGGACAAATGCTCACATGTATTCGTCAGAAATGATAGAGTACGACAGCCGTTACAGACTCCTTATGACGGTCCTTTTAAAATCATCCGAAAGGACAGTAAAACGGTTACAGTGGAAAGAGCAGGTAAACATGATACTGTTAGCATCGACAGAGTAAAACCAGCGTTTTTAGAGAACACTGAAAAACAGACAATTGTAAAACTGTCTAAACCCGCAGCAGAGCAAGCACCATACAAACTACCTGCAACAAGCAATACTTCACATCAAAGTTCAGCAACAGCAGAAACTACAACAAGATCAGGAAGAAGAGTACACTGGCCAAATAGGTATGTAGCAACCATCATATTTATCTAGACCAAGTCCTGAGATTGCTCGCATAACACAAAAATCCTTATTTATTTTGATTACTATTTTTTTATTGGCCCCACGGATCAGCATTATCCTTACATTTTAACTTTATGCAGTTCCTTGATGTTAAATATACATTTATATATACATGATATAAAACGTTTCAACACACAAGCTGTTATTACAACTTAACGCTCACTCATCGTATCGAGTTGTACATTTATTTTAAAAACAATTTCGTTTTTTATCTCTTTGTCGAACATAGATGTTAGTAAAAATTTTTTTTTTGTAAATAAAAAAATCAATGTTCTGGATGGGAGCTTATGTAGCAAGCCCATTCAACTATTGTATTATTTTTATCAGAATGGGTTTTGTGGACATTTTTAGAAATTTCACTGGTTGAGATCATGAGTCCATTGAAGCTAGACCACCATGGAAAACCTGGAAGCACTGGACGGCCGTTTCGTATTATTTGTCTACTCACTGTAATTCAGACACTTAATTCACTATGTTAATTTCTGTGTATATGATTGAGCGCGTGTCTGCACATAAATCCTTAACCTATTCTCCCATTGATTGTAACACACAGATAATCAATAATTTATCCACACTTGATTATGACTCATAATTATATATGGATTTTCAACTCACAAACACACGATCTTGGTTTTACAGCGTGCTTGCTCGTTGTACGCTTGCGGATCTTATTTATCTTTAACAATAAAATATCTCTACAACTGGTGTTCAGGCTTCTGAATAGTCTCGAGTAAATCCATAATTCTACTAGGAGATTTAGCCTGCCTTAAATACTCAGTTAATGGGATATCATTTATTGGAGTCAGATATAGGGGAAACTAGCCTCTACAAACTAAACAACTCTTTTGTATTAAGAATTACTGTTGGCAAAATCACCCAATCATAAATATTATTTGTTTCTTTCTAAGAAGGAACGGTTGACAATTATTGAACGGCGGTTTTGATTCCCTGCCCCCCGTTTATGAGAAATTTCAGGGTGATTAAAAAACTGAGTCACTCTTAATTCAATAAGACTGGTTAAAAGTCAGTTCCAATATTCACACACTACACGCTCATTTATGGATGCTCGAAATAAAGGTATCTTCCATACACTTTGTACTTAGGCTTTCAGGATTAAGACAATGGATACATCTGAAATGCAAGTGTTGGATATATATGTTAACTGGGATTAAAAAAGGGTTACGAAAATGGTGAACCAAGGTACGAACTGAACGCAACATACGGGAAAACCACTTACTACAAAAAGTAGGTACGATAAACTATGTACACGTAAAATGAAGGGAAGCATACCTTGAGTAACTGAAGTGTCAGCATATCTTGACGGAGATCATCACCATGTTTAAAAATCAGTTGATAGTTTTGATGATGAAATTGTGCCAGTCTATCAGGATTTGTCCATACAAGCCATAAGGGTCTTTTCTTAGATCGCTTAACATCACATTTATGAATTAATAATTCACCTAAGATTTCACTTAAACATAACGGAGATGGTAACCATTGAAGATCATGTTGGGTTTCTGTTCGAGACATCTCTTCACGGAATAGTTCACGTTGTTCATCCTCACTATTTAATTCTTTTAGACGTGTACTTAACGCTTCTAAACGATTGAGAGCGGTTACCTGACGAGAAAGTAATACTAAAATTGGTCCACAACCTCGACAAAATGCTTCTAATATTAGACTGAATCGAAGGCGTATATCTGGCATATGAAGTTCAGAACGTAAATGCCAAAACAATCGTAAACCAATTTGCAGAGGATTTTTTAAAGCACGATATAAGATAAAACGAGTTAATGCATTGTCCAAATAGGTTTCAGCTTTAAGAGCCTAAATAATAAATAAAAGGGTATATATATGCCTCACACAAAATAAGTATTTACTAAAATTGTAAAAAGCAATATAAACTAAGATTGGAATATGAAATAATGGTTAGGCAACAACGTGTTTTATCCTGCACTGAAGAAATTTAAGTTTATTTCCAAATAAGCTCACATCATGAAGAAGCATAAATTCAACTATGATCCAAAAATTGCAGTACTTTCTGATTTCCAGCATGTATTTCTTTCCGTATTTTCGATGAGCACTGAAAATGTATACCATTTTTAGTTATATGAAAAATATCAAGCTATATTTCCCCTTCATAATACTAATAATAGGTTTCAGATACAATAGCAACAAATAAATATCACAACCACCATTTGTAACAATTGACAAACATTACAATGTTATCCTTCATTTCAAAAAGCTGAATTATTAAACTACCACTATTTTGTTAGATATCCTGGGTCAGCAAAAATTTAAATATTATAAGATGAGTGTGGACAAGATATACGCAAGCTAAGAAAGTGTTGCTAGCTGCCCTTAAACATCGACACAAACACAAGCTGGTAGACTACTAAGTTATACATTTTTTCTCATTGAATGGGATCATTCCTATTGACATTGGGATTAATAAAAGTTTGTACAATACGACTCTCATAAACTAGTTGTGTGACAACTTGAGCCTATGTGCCAGATTCTAAGTTAATTATGACGGAAAAACAAACTGGATACTGATTATTTGGACGATCTTCTGATTCTATACACTTGGCTTGTAAGTGCAAGTCTCAAACTGACACCGAAATATCATCGGGGATGCAATAGTCAATTGCTTAACCGACTGTTGATGTAAATATACTAAAGTAGTAGATCTTCAAACTGTAAGGTTAGTGGAATACTGACACTACTGATTACGGATGTTGAATCTACAGAACAGTCGAGGGATTTTATGAAAATTGTATACCGAAAAATAAAATACGAATTCCAGAATATAACAAATCAACAGTTGAGTTTTCCACTGTTTTTGGAGAAAATTCCTAATACATAGAAGAGCTTAAAAATCCACATAGTTTTATGATGCAATATACAGGCTCCACATCAAAAGTGAACTATAGTTAGATTATTAAAAAATGCTATATATGATTGAGAATTTTTGGACGTCCTACGTCTGAAACCAAAAAAAAATGTAAAAATGTGAATGTTTCCAGGCACTTTAGGATCAATGACGTAGTTAAGAATTTATATGACTCAGTTTCGTACAGAAGAATCAAACTTTTACCATTAGAATTTTTAAAAACAAGTTCGTTCACAATGTACAGTCACGAAACACCTTTTGTTATTTTCGGTATAAGATTGTGGAGATCACTGAGTTTCATTGAAATAATGAACCGATCCAACTTAGATTACCATTGCAAACCTGGAAGTACTGGGTGATCGTTTCGTCCTAGTATGACACTCCATACCAGTCCCCATCCATGATCCCGCATGTGGTACTCATACCCAGGATCTCCAGTCTCTTGCGCGAACACTTAACCACCTCTAGACCACTTAGCCGGCACTCAACAGTGTTAATGCCTAACCTCAGTCAATCCACGACATTTCGCGACCATCTTTCATTGCCTATGGTAGGTAACTGCCTCACACCCGATACGAATTAACTCCACTGGTCATAGCTTTTCACCAGAACTCCGCAAATTTCCTCTTGAAGTTAGTCACTAGTGAGCACATGATAATTATCAGTATGAAGTTTTGGAGATTGGTGAATTTCATTCACAAACAATGCTGTCAAGGAATGAAATATAATTTACTGATTGTTGATTAATACTTTACCAGGAATGAATTTAGCTTTTGTTATGTTAAACATTATGAGCAACCTTGTAGTTAGTAACAGTATAGGGACCTGACTATTGAATGCTCCGATCTGGCTCAAAAGGCCATACGCTGATTAACCTATTTTCAATCAATTAACGCTAGTGAACTAGTGTAGATACCAGAAGATTCTCATGTAAACTCTAGTGGTTTTACTAATGGATCTTTGTTGTTTGGGTTGTTGAAAATATGAAATATTCCATTTCAATATGACATCCATAGAATGCTAAACAGTAAAAGAACATAGCAACAATGATCATAAAACAAACAGATAATCTGTATCTTACCTGAACCAGTTGTAACAGATAATCACTCAATTCAGCATCACTAAGATTATACAAACTATTTACAGCTAATTCGCGTATATATAAATCAGCTATTCCACTTGCTCCAACTTTTATTCCATTGGGTAAATCAATAAGATTTGAATTACTTCGTGTTAAATCGAATGCACCAAGTAAACGTAAAGCTATGTCAACACTAAATGGTTGTGGCCACTGACGTATAAGAGTGTAGAATTCTGCTAATGTATCACGACCACACCAATTAACAACTTGACATATCCATGGTAATGCTGAAGGTAAATTATTTAAACACCAATAACGACCACGCCATAAATAATCTTTTTCTTGTTCACATAATTCATATAATGGATCACGATTAACTATTTCACGTAATCTTGATTCTAATATTTTATTAGTTAAATTTGTTACTGATGAAGTAAAAGTGTTATTCTGAAAAGATTTATTAGAAACAAATTCTAATGGTATATCTCCTTTATAAGTATTATTATGAATCGTTGTTAAATTATTATTTGACTCTATGCATAGACAAGCATCCACATCACCTATTTCACTTGTGCAAAATGAATAATCTACTTTTGCACTCTTAGCATGATCATCATTCCGTGATTTTAATGAATGACTATCTGAATAGGATTGGGATGAAGAGGAATGAAATTTTTTTGTATGATATGCATTGATAAAACAATTCACTGTTGGTCGACGAATACGACCTTGAGTTGGGTTATGAATTTTGATCTGCAAAAAAGGAGAGTAAAGTAAAGAAAAGTGAATAGTAAGCTTATTTACAATAACCACGACTTGATGTGTTTTGAGAAATATCATAGAAGCTTGTATTACGAATCAGTGTCAACGGAAGAAACAAGTGATTGAGTTGACGCAACCATATAATGTTGGAGAAAAAAATATTTCCTTTAGTGAACTGGTGGTAACTGCTATTTAATAATGAATTGTACTCGTTGCTGAGTTTTCCAAACCTTTTCTATACCATCTACTAACGAGTAAATTTGATGTTTTATACTGGAAATCTGAACGAAAACGAAAATAACTTTAATATCGAAGAATGAAGCTAGTGAAAAGAATGTTAATTTTGTAACCATAGTAAAAAACTCCCTCTTTTTTTAAACAATGGATAAAATAATACTTTATACACTTAAACCTGTATTGAAGGGCCGCATCAGTTGAAAGATGTATGAGGACAAGTGTCACTTACCAGTTATTCCTACTATGAAAGAATAGTCGTTTTAAAGCACCTGAAAAGGAAATCGGGCTAGGGATGCTCATCTTAATCTGAATATAACACTAGGAACCAAGGAACAACTGATTGAACATGGCCAAACACATGAGTTTTGGTCAGTAGTTCTTGATGTATTAACTCTACTTTCTAACCCTAACGTCCAACTGAAAATCCTAATCCTAATTTATAACCCTGATAACTATATGGATATTCTCAAAGTCACTCAGGCATCGCCCGAAGGTTGTCTATATGTTAGTTTCTTATTCGCATAAGTGCTTTGAGATGGATAAGTTATTAGCTCATATCGAACAATGACCTAATGTAAATGATTTTACACTTGATTTTTCTCAATTTCAGACTGTCTACATTAGCCCAAGACAGAAAAACAACCTAAACACACTACTGAAAGACAAACACCACTTAACTTATGGTAAGTCTTTCTTTTGATCTCTCTTAGTTTTCTCAAATCAAAGGAATCTTTTCCTCTAACTTATTATACAAGAGCAATACATATTTTAGGCACCATTCGATAATTCTACGATTTGTAAATTTATTTATAACGCGTATTATCCTACACTCTTCATTTTTTTTCCTGGACTTTTTAAAGAGAAATATACTGTGTTCCTGAGAGTGTTGAAGGCTAAATGGTAGGGTGGGTGATGAATCTCTTGACGTTATTAAATGGTTGTGGACAGACATTTGAAATCTTGGAAATAACTGCTAAGTTTTATTCTGTCAGATCTAAACCATCTATTTTACATCTCTCGCGTTTTATTTCTTCATTTAGAAAGAAGCGCAGTTGTATTAGAATTCGTGTATACATAAATTTGAAAAAGCTCTACAATACCATAACTAAGGCATCCTATGAAACGAAGAAATTGTAAGGGCTCTTGAACATCATATATGTACTAAACAAACAGTGTTAGATTGAGTCAGTCATCAGTCAGCTACAACGTAGGACCAGGCACATATGTGCATCGGTCCAGGTTGCCATACCGCATCAGCACAACAAGATGAACACCGGATTCATAGCAGTGGTTATGTCAAAGGTGGTAATATATAAGAGAAAGATTGCATATAAAGATATAGTACAAGAAGAAAAAATTGGTTCGTAGAAAGAAAGGTATGAAGTGATTTTAATCTCTTAGTTTAAGGGAAGACAGGAAGTGTATACACCGACGCCATTGTGATCGATTCTAAGCCATGTCACCAAGAGTCTCCAACCATTGGTTACGATAGTCACGCGGACCCCAACCAAGTAGTCTGCATCTACCAACATGGCTCAGACTAGAAGTTAATGACTTCAAGCACTGATGGCACGTTTTGGATTGAGTCATAAACCGATTTAAGTTAGACCTCCATTGCATACCTAGAAGTACTGGGTGGTCGTTTCGTCCTGGTATGACACTCCATACCAGTCCCCATCCATGATCCCGCATGTGGTACTCAAACCCAGGATCTTCGGTCTCTTGTGCGAACACTTAACCATCTCCAGACCACTGAGTCGGCACTCAACAGTGTTAATGCCTAACCTCGGTCAATCCACGACATTACGCGACCATCTTCCATTGTCTATGGTGGGTAACTGCCTTCCGATTCATATCCATATAGATAAACTTATATGCTAGCCCAAACACTAACGAGAGTGAGAAGAATGCGAAATGACTAGTATGCTTAAACTGGTAAACCGAAGCAAGTGTACACAAACCATAAGCATAAATGAACCTGTCCTTCTGACCCAGACAAATACATGTGGGACGAAACCATGAGTAGGTGTATGATTAGCTTCTTTCTAAAACGTACCTTAATTATAATCTGTCACATACCGTTCGACTTTGAGATGGGACGTGAGCACAGTCACGTGTTATGTCTAGACTGGAACATACTATCGAATATCGTATATATTTGTGTAAATAGTTGCCTGAACAATGAATATGTCCATTTTAATGTTACTCTTGATAGATTATTTTCACTGAAGGATATGTTATATAGTGCTCTAAGCTCCAATACACGTAGCACAATCATACTGATTGGTGAGCTAATCTAACAGTCTAAACTAATATATTCATTAAGAACGCATGGAATTTATTTGTTTTACCCCAAGTACGACTAACTACAGATGTAGAGTTAATTTATTCGAATATTTGGAATTAGGTTATTTAATTTTGCTCCATTTACATCAGTCTGATTTAGATGTGAAAAACAATAATGTCAAATGCAAACTTCCAACTGTTTATAATAATTTTGCAAAAACAATCTACATTTGAACAAATAGTTTCACAATACCTGGACCTCGAATTCATGGAAGACATTGAAAAGGAAATTACGCTTGTAAAATTTTCAGTGACTAAAATTAAGATAACTCCGAATTTCGGTAGTTGTGATCTTTGATTATTTACTAGATGCCTGGACCAGATCACTGGGGAGATCACCGAAATCATTACATATACAATTTCCATTTTTATATTTACGATAGTTGTTGATGACCATCTTTTCATTTAAATCATGATGTCTCAAACTATTTAAAACGCTGTATGAACTGAGGTTACTCGGTCGTCTTTCAGTGTATAATAAGTACGCAGCATCCCATTTTTCAGTTCATTTAATGAGTACCTATCGCACACAAGAGGCTATTTTCACAAAACATTTCATTTTACCATCAAAAGCTATTTATACCAGGCTCCTATGAACATGTCATTGTAGCATATCATAAAATGTAAGATGAAAAACACAAATATAGTGAAATTTAAGGCTTGAAATAAAACATCGGTTGGAAATTGCACTCTTATATCCAGCACTCACTCACTAATTGAATGAACAGGAAAATGCTGGAGACTCCAGATTTATTGAATACTAGGAAATGGCCGAAGCAAGTCAGCAATCGTGGCAGTCGTGCGATAAAATGATAGGATGGGGAAACCCGAACAGTTAGGTCTTTTACTTGCTACGTCCTCTACTTGATTACGGCAGGATACGATATACAACAAACGACACTCGAACGTATAGAACCTCACAGTTGCAAATAACTAGAGAATGAGCGACCTACAAAATTGATTTTAATGGTTTGTCAGACCTAGCCATGTTTATTCTTGTGTTCAATATTTTGTATATATGCGTGCTATTTTTTCAGACAAATAGACCTATTTTACTGGCTGGCTGTCTGATCTTCTGATATCAGTTTTATAGGGGTCTAGGGTAAATCATAAGATCTCGTGAGCAACTATCACGTGACCACATCATACAATTACATGTAAACTATCAATCAGCGTTTTTTTTCATTATAGAAGTCGAAAAATCGTTCATAAAATCATGAACTTACTTCGGGATAAAAAGCTATAGTTAGAATGTGAGTTATATTGAATGATTGGAAATGACAATGATTTCAATTACAAATAGAACTTAATAAAATACTTAGAAATCAATCGAAATCTGGACACCACTTACAAATTATTAACTCAGAATCAAATGCACTTCACAAAGGATTCGTCATAAACGACAATCTTCATGTATGACAGAGTTTGTGGAAATTCTTGACGCCATTTGGCAACTAAAATTCAGTCATAGCTTTGCAGTCAAATCTTTTTGAAATTTCTTCAACTTTAAGTTTGAAATCTTGGTTCCATGATGTCTAACTAAGTCTACTTCACATGCGTTAAATTAGCCGCCACAAGCCATACATCAAACAACCTCATTAGAACCCACTTAGCGAAAAAAAAGAACACTATAAGTGCTCACATAGTTGTAACTTAAATCGTGCGATAAATTTTTCAGCCTAAAGAGAAAAGAAGAATTAAAACTGATAATTCATGCCTATTTATCAATCAGGTGACGATAAAGGAACATCTGAAATTCTGTTTTAATTTCAGTTGTAGACAGAACAGAAATATGATTACCAAGAAAACAAGTCAAAACGAAAAGACACTCTAGTCATCTGATTTAGGTTTATATTAATCTATGGGACTTAAAAAAATATTTATTATTGAAGCTATTTACTGCATTTGTATATAGATTATCAATGAGGTAGGTTTGAAATCAAACATGAACAGTGTGCCAAATTACTGGAAGAAAAAAAACAACACCAATTAACGTTCATGTAATAACCAAGATCACAGAAACATTCATTATTTGACTCAGTTTCAGAATAACATAACATAGAATCTAATAGAGGAAGTCTATATAGTAATATGCAATATTATTCATGTATGTCTATAATGTTCTTTTTATTTATGTATAATAACGACAAGAAATAGTTAACAATTAATACATATACATACACACATCATTTGCTTTTTTTTCCTCCTTGTAACTGAGTACACCATAATTGTTTAAAATTACACAAATACATGATTGATTTTATGAACAACTCTGTTTACACCTACATACATACATAAAAACGTATCATAAATGTCTACTTTAACTAAAGTGTTTCTACACTAAATTCATTTCACATAAGATAGTTTTTTTTCTTCTTTAACTAATCTCAATGTAAAGTCAATTGTATTAAATGATTTATTGAATCTAATTAAACAAAAAGACACGCCTTTAATTTTGCAGAAGACAATTAAATCTATAATCAACGTTGTGTTTTTTTAATAAAGTTGAACATAAACACCAAAAACAAGTATCTAGAATAAATTTAAACGGATGTAATTTATACAATATGAAGAGCATCCTCAAACGTGTTTTCTTTTTAATCATTCATAATGTTGTAAAGGTAGAGGTACTTGTTGTTTATATTAAATTCAAGAAAACATATTGAAATACGTCATAAAAACTGTATATGACTGAAGGTTGTTAAATTTTAGCGAAGTTTCGAGAACTTACAAAAGTACCTTAAAACCTTTTCTGCTTTAAAGTAAAAAAAAGAAGTGAATCACATCCTATTGACTTGAAAGAAACTATGCGTTGAAATATACGTTATGATATCAGTTAATAAAAGAGGAACAAATTATCACATATATCTAAACTATTTGTTCTATAAATTAGTTTAATATCTCTACCAACACAAATATTTATCTTAATGCCTTATGGTTAAAACAAGATTAGAATTGTAGAACAATTAAAAAAAGGTAGATGTAAACAACTATCCCAAGCTAAAAGAGCATATGATCTAATTTCGCTAAATATTAAATTTTTCGAGACTCCTGTCTTTTTCTTAAGTTCCATAATTTTCAAGTTATTGTTAAAGCTTTGTTCATGTCAGTTCCCGTAATATCGAGTGCGTAAAAGATCTCGTTCATATTGGAATAATATTGATAGTCCATAATTGGAAATCACATTAGGCCCAACTGTTCCCATAAACTTAACAGTTATTTAATCTAGGGATTAAGATGCCTGGCTTTTAGTCGCTAAGTCCTAGGTTCGAACCCCGATTTACCTAATTCGGTTTCGGTAACCGGATGATATCAGTACCCCTTACATTTAGAGTGTGGCTCGTATATAAGTACAGGGTGAATGAATTACTTTAATATATTTAGTCAAGTATATATGTCAAAAGATTGAAAGTTAAGCATAGTCGTACTTATACAATTTACTGACAAACAATGTAACCAGAGACAATGGATTCAAAATCCGCATATAGTAACCAAGTTCTATGAAACGATTTGTTTATGTAAAACAGTTATGATAAACTAGAAAAAGTTGAGAACATTTCAAATTTGTTATTCAGTGATACAGATTAGACATTTAGATGAAAAATTATTCTTGCTGAAGAAACTGACAATAAATGCATAATACACAACTTCAAGTTGATTCCCTGAAAACATTGAGCAAATGAATAAAATATTAATAGAATAAGATTAACCTGTATTGAGAATTCAGGATTGGGGTTACCAAGTACAGTACCACAAGGATGAAGACTTTCATCTGCCGTCTGAACTAAAGAGGGTGGCCATAAATTTAAAGTAATTTCACCCGTGATCATGAAACCATTGTGATCAAACAAATTGACATTACCCCAGCCATATAGGTATTCACACTAAAATCAAATGGAAAAATATTATACGAAAATGATAGAAATGTATTTAAAGTTTAATTTCATATCTTGATAACTGAGAATATATTTAATTTCCAACAAAAACTAACCGTAAAAAACATAAATTTTTGTACTAATACGCTGCAAAATTGTGCCCAACGAATTGAATAATCTAACATCTTTAAGGGCATAATTTTTAGCAGTCTAAGCAATCATATTGAAAATTACAATCGAGTGTAGTAGACTGAAGAGCTACTCGACCTCGCTCTTGAAGACTTGATGAACTATTCCCTTATGTGATATAAACAAACAATAAAAGACCTATGTATACAAGCCCTGGATCTTTTCAAGACAAGGTTAACAGTATTGAACTCATATGATTGAGTGGAATGATATGAGGACGGGAACTGACTACATTAAGAACATACAAATTGTTGGAGTGATCCAGAAAATTGCTTGCAAAAGAAAACAAGCATCAGGAAACACTAAGATGCGTTTCATCCAATCAGCGTTCACTTGAAGTTTCAGCCAAAAATATCAAGGAAGTGAAACATCACATGTAGAGGTTCTGATTGGCTAATTGCTACACTGCTACTACGTTTAGTAGCATTTCAGAATGTTCTAGCAACCCAAGGACATTTAAAATATTATAAAAACCCTGTATTTTCTGTATTAAAATGAACCTTGGAGTAAATTACTTCTCGCATACTTTGCGTCTTCTCTCTCGTGTTCAGGTCGCTGTATGGTTCTAGCTTGGGGGTTACAGAATAGCTTAGTAGACGAATATAGCGTTCAAATTCGCAAGACTTATCACAAATCGACAGTAAATACAATCACTTTTACAGGACCTTGTGTCACGCTGAACTGCTAGAACATTAGACGACACCTATTTCATGGCTGCAAAAAGTAATTGTTCCGAAGAAATATACTTTGAACCAAACTGACACTACAAACAAAAACTGATTTAATAACCAAACTTGATCTGCTTAAATGTAGAATGGACTTCTAAGTAAAATTATGAAAATCACATAACCATATTAATCCAAATGTAGAGTGGAAAAAATGTCTATTTCATATACCAATACATTGCATGAACGGTAATTTATGTATCTTACTAATCTCAACAAACTAAATTCAACTACACAGAATCATCTATTTTATCTATTGAATTTTAGGCAAATAACTCCAACCATTTTATACCGTGCACTCTTTCTATCACAATATTTTGAAGTGATGTAAAACAAAACAGAATGTTCTTTTTCACATTTAATCTTTAAAGTATCATCAAATGAAAGACACTTTTACAAAGCATTTGTTGTTTCAGTCCTGATTGAGACTGTATAAGTTATTTACTAGTACAACTTACAAATCTCACGTTTTTTCGATCCACAATTTTTCTGATTCGTATAAGCGCTACACAGATGCGCGTAGCAATAGGTAGATCAGCTAAAAGAATGTGAAAATTAAGCCATTCACGCCATGTTAAGTAGTTTCCCGGTCTTTCTTTAGTTGTCTAGAAAAAAAAGTAAAATACATTTCCATAAAATTCTATATTTTTGAAAAGATAAGCTTAAGTGAAAATACTTAGACATTAATACCAAATAAATGTTAATGCAAGCCAAAAATAAAGTGGACAATAATTAGCTAACATAATTTTGTGTGGAGGATGATTATTACAATACCTGGTTCTAAAATCTAAAATGGACGAATATGAATCCCGTTTAAACTCCAACAGTTGCTGCTTTGATCATAACCGCTCTTCAATCAATACCAAGGAATTTTTAATACGCTTATGATACATCAATGAGTGGATATGTTGACCGCTGTGTAAATTTCGTAATATTTTAATAGTTGAGATCATGAGTCAATTGAGGCTAGACCATCATGGAAAACTTGGAAGCACTGGACGGCCGTTTCGTTCTATTGTGGGACTCCTCAGCAACGTGTATCCACGATCTCGTATCGCGAGATTCGAACCCAGGACCTATCGGTCTCGCGCGCGAACCCTTAACATCTATACCACTGAGCCGATATCCAATGGTGTTATTGTTGGTTAATAAAGTTCATGAGTCAGTAAAATTACAAATACATGTAGAAATATAGTTATAAATGAGTCAAGAAACCGTTTGTATTTCCAAAATTCTTATGCAGTATGTTTTGACGAAACAACCTATCAAAATCACTAGAAAGGGATCTTCATAGATCCAGCTAGCACTTGGTACAATTGAGAGATGCAAATATCTATGGAGTGAATAATGAAAACAGTTGGGAAAACACTACCAAACTTGGAAACTTTTTAATAAAAGAATCGATTCCAAGTACTACTATCAACACGAAACTGGGAAAACAGAATGAAGTACTAAGTATATTGCAAAGGAAAGAAAATTTTTTTTCAGTTTTACAGATGTAAATCTAAATTCCAATAAGATGAAATAAAGTATACCCTTTGAGAAACACATAGCTGATAGTCATTAACAGATAGAATTGGAACGCAAATACATGAAATATCAAAAAGTTTATATACCACAGAAAGTAAGTTTGAGAAATTAAGAAAAAAGAAATATTGACACACAAATAAAATACTATATAACTTTGGTAAATCCGAACATTTTTATTCCTCTTTTTTTGAACAGAGTTGATAATTTATACTCAAATCCAGCACAATTCTTTAAAAGTGCCTAATTCCTTTTTTTTTAGTTTTGTTGAAAAATGTAGCAACTTGATACAGAGTGTAGTAATTTGGTTAAAATAGTTCACTGAGACAACCATTTAACGAGACTAGCATGATACAGATTTTACACATATTCTAGTCCTGAAGAAGGTAACGCCAATAGCAGTTTAGGGGGAAGCAGTAGCAAGATTAAATCTCACAAAAAAGTAAAGTTGTCAGAAGGCTACCCAAAAGTCAGGTCTGAGAAGTATAACAACAAGAAAGTGAATAAACCTTAAAACACATCGCCTGAATACAACCTACAGTTAGTTGAAGGTGAAAAATGTTCAAGACATTACTGATGATTCAATGGTTTTGCAGAACAAACAATAATTCGTTCCCTTTAATCTAGGAAAATGCCACTAAGATAATAATATATGAGCATATGATTATTTCATAATTGGGACCTATAAAAATTGAATGATTGCTTATTTTTTACAAAGAAAAAGTAAATTTTAAAGCTATCGAATATATATATATATATATATATATATATATATATATATATATATATATGATCACCTTACTTGACATTCAATTAAAAACTGACTACCATGAAATATTCCCACTCGTACAACATAACATCCATCCAAAGCAGCTCCACCATGTACGCTTGTATGCTGTACAACATTTAAGTTAGGATTTGACTGATGTACTGAAGAGGACGGAAATGAAATTGTTGATAAAGAGAGGGAGGTTGTGGAAGAAGAATTTAAACTTGTAATATTTTCGACAAGAAACTGTGCTGAACAAACTTGTATACTTAAAAATCCACTTAGTTCCCAAAGAGATACATTTTGTTGACGGTCAGAAGTGAGTGTAAATGGAGATGTTAAATTCTTTTGAATACCTTCAGCATTTTTTGAAGAACAGTTTTCAGATAAGAGGACTGTGTGAGCACTATCAATATCGTCAAAAGCTGATGTATCATCGTCTTTGTTGAAATCAATAGATGATCGACAGTCGATAAAATTGTCGTCAATGTTGCTTATGCATTCATTAGTCTCACATTTATCAAATTTATCATGATTGATTAAAAAATTTTCTAACTGTTGATACAAATCAATTGAGTTATTGTTGTTTTTATCAAAGTTATTGGTATAGGTATTTAGGGTGGATTTCGAATAGATTATCGAACTATCATTGTTATGATTCAGTTGATAGATAGGATTTTTATTATATTCATTAAGACAGTTATGCAAACTTTGTTTAATGTCGTTCTTTAAAATTGGACTTAAACAAGGATGTTGATGATGTTCAATAGATTGTTGTATATATTCATATTGAATGAGTAATTCGTTCAAATCGAATAGATAAGCTTGTGAACAACAAACTTTCAGTAAATAATTTGATGCATCTGGGAGACCATAACTCATTTTAACTTGACAATCTTGTCTAGCCAGTTCAGCTTGCGCATGCAAAATTTCATTTAGAGCGTTAAATACAGTAGCTTTCTTATCCAATTCGAGGACAACACGACATTTTTCCGGTGGGTCTTTACCATCTAATACCCATGCTGTTATTGTAAGATGTGTTTGCTTTTGGAGAAGAACTTTTAATGACTGGCTTAGTTCACGTTTACTAGCTGAAGTTAAGTAACGGATCAAGCCATCTGATCCGGTTTGATTCAATGCTTTTGTATGCATATTAGCTACACGTAATAAACGTAATCGTGCCCATTTTACTTCAGGGTTTGTTCTACAAGCACGTATGATATCTGTATGTGGTATACCTGTACAACTGAAATATTAAAAAAGTAAAATTTGTAAACTATATAATGCAATAATGAATTAAAGAAATTTCAATATCAAAAAATATATCACGGAGAATGTAACTACACCAATAAGTAAACTGATATACACTCTCAGTCAATTAACGGCTCATTCTTAAACTAAGTGTTTGTCTAGACCGCCTATTTAACATAACTTAATGCCCAACTGTGATAACTGACTGTTAGTCACGTCTTGATTTTTTTCAACGTGATGATATGGCTTTCCGTTTGTTTAGCGTCTTCGCAGGACAGGACTACCATCCACATGCTGTGGGTTGATGAGAAGAGCGTTTAACCTTCAACTGCTGAGGTTGAATATTTGGAACACGGTCCAAATGTTTCAATCTATGCGGTCGTTCGAATATCACTAGTTCTCAAAAAAAGCGTAGTTAGAAAGGTATATAACTTCTTAATAATCCCCTATAAAACTGTATACTTTTGAATTATTTTTCTGTAGTCAAACCGATTTGCTTGGTACTCTTCTTAAACCCAAACACTGTGAAGCGATTCTTGAGCGGTTGAGTTAAAAGCCTTCCTGAAGTTAAGGAAAATAGAGATTTTAAAATATTAAGTACTCTTGTATTTCTGGGCCTAGTGTGACATGATCGAGACATCCCCACACAGGCTCCAGTCAGGTATTGAGTAATTATGAACCCTAGAATTTAGAAGACTGTTAAGACAACCTACGATCATTACAAAATGATTCTTATTCCCTCTAATAAAATAACATTAGCAATCACTGATATTTTTCTCATAACTCATTTACTATCTTAACCAACTAGGACGTTGATTTTTGGCTGGGTTCCTTGAGGAAACTTTTGGACGTTACTTCGCCTACCTTAGCTTTGTCAGAGTTCTCTAATTTTATTCATAGTTAAATGCTCGACATTGGTTCCGTATTTGTGTTGCCCCCTCTACTGTATGGCAGAAATGCAGTCATAGAGCTATCTTTGCATGATGTCACAATATGAAAACTTGTTTGCATTTTATTTGCTTTCTGAAATATGTTAAATGTCATAATTAAACTATTTTAGAGCTCTACATCTACGATTACCATAATTAGAGTCTTTCTAGACTCACTATGGCTATAGTAACGACTCAACTACTGAGTATAATACAAGTGTAGACAGTGGCATTAATAGTCTCAACTCCTCGAGATTTAGTAGTACATTTGGCGCATACGGATATTATAGTAATCGTATTAACACGTAACAGATGAGATCCGTAACTTTGTAAGCACTCACTTACAACCCTTACGTCTGATATTCGAAATCTGTTAGTCACAGTAATAAATCAACTTTTCATTATTACTGAATTTTGTAATTACTTGGAATTTACTTGACAAATTAGCTGCTAAGTCATACTAAACTGTACTAGCAGTACATAAACTAGTTGACGTGAAAGTTCCATATGCATAAAAGCAATGATTTATCGTAGATCATTGCATAAAAAACTTTATTTCATGCCATAAACAACAATGAATATGGACATATTAACTGTGATGTTGATACCGAAAAGAATGCTTGCTAACTTGAAGTATTTTGAATCTTCGGCAGGGATAAATCATGGATTTAAGGTGAATGAAGTATTAAATCGCCTTGGGTTAGTAGAAGCTTAGTCGTAATGCACGTAAACTTAAAACTAGTAAACTATTCACATTTAAATGACGATAGTTGGAATTCTTGGCTATCATGTTTTGTACTTACTTTTTCTAACAATTGCGAAAACTATTTTTTATGGTTTGTTATCAGCTGAGTTTAACTACTCAGACAAAAATTATATTTGGAACATTAGTTGTATAAATATTCATATTAAACATCAGTGTGTCAATAGACGATAAAACTCATTGCTCTAATGTAGTGACCTAAAAGAAAGCGACAGCAGTTAAAATGTAAGGTTAACATTAATATTTGTTCCTTCTATTTCTCTAGTTACGAACAATCAAATCAGGATTATACATTCGTTATTCAATAAGAAGAAAATAAAAGGTTTTGAGAATTGTTGAGAGGAATAATTAAGTTGAAACATCAACATTACACTGAGATGTGTTTTCAACTACTTATAAGTAGTCATATTTGTGTATCATCATTCGTAATTTAAATGTTGGATTAATTCGTTAATGAGAGACCAACTTTTTTTCCTATTTGATCATAGAAGTACAATTTTGATCCCCTCTTAGACTAATTCTATGCACATTTAAGGAATGTATGATAACGTCTGATAAAGCCTTGAGATTAGATGGATTTATTTTTGTCTTCAAATATTATTGTACTTGATTTGAAAAAAATGGTCAAAGAAATATGCTCAACTGAGCGGTTCGTAACATTCATCCATGGTAGAATTTCCAGCCAGAAACCCACCCCAGTATTACTTGTCACAATAAAATAATCAGAAACGTGCTAAATAGAGACAAATAACAATGTTTTGAAGAAATAAGTGAAGGAAAACTTCGTGATTAATGAGTACGTTAAACTGTACCGTTTTGAATAGAAAGACAAAACAGATACCATTCAAAACCACTTTTTATGAACAACACGGAAAAACTACAGCATGACTGACACTGGTTATTATGTTGATTCATGTCTGGCAATGTATAAATCAGTTGAGTTACACAACTTCTAGGATCCCCATCTAAAGAGCCGTGATGAACAGGTGAATTGTAAGCCGATATAATTGTTCTTTCTTCCCTGACCTCATATGATGAACTGAATGCCCGTTTGATTTCGTGTTCATCCCCAGTGTCAGTATATAATGCACAATATGGAAGCCGCTAAGCCAGATTGAGTGAAACATGACCAAAATGTTTTAAGACGGTAGAATTATAATCTTCAATGATAAAAGTCCCACAAAAACATCCAAGTTAGCAGATAGTTGATAGAAAATGTAATTTTCATTTTTCAACACAAAAATAATCACCTGGAGATCGCAACATTCTGATTACTGATTTTTAATAGGGTAGTATCTCTTGCGATTTCAGTAACACGTAAGTAAGGTAAAAGAAGTGGAATTTCATGAAGTCGACGATTTATATCATAAAACTCTTCTTCGTCACCAGTTTCTCGGTTAACACCAACAAATATGTAGTCATTCTTTGATTGTAATATATCAAATAATGGTAATTTTGCTGCGGAAATCCAAAGCTGTACTTTGATTTCTTTTAATGTTGACTCTGAATTCACCTGAAAAATTATACACAAACAATATGATCGTTATACATTTTTGGTTGGTTTGTTAAGTTCTAAGCATATTGAAATCTTGACATGTGAAATAATATCGGTTGAACATTCATCTAAAAACAAGTATAATTGACTCAATAGTAATGACATATCGGTTTGTGAAGCTACACTACACATAAAGAAAATAGTCAGAAAATAAAAAAGCCGACTGAGAAACATTAACACAACAGAAATACAAACACGCTCGATTTGTATAGAAATATGAGTAAATCCAGTTGAACTACTTAGATTATTTGTATAGTCACTGGGTAAGGATACGCTTCAAATATATGAACTTAAATGGCGCTTGGGATGAAACAAACTGACCCCGTAACTTACTTAAAACCGACTAAAATATGTAAACACACTAATCCATACTATTTCATAGCTCCTTTGTGACAGCCTATTTAACATAAAAATTATTATAAAGAGTAGGTACAGACCTCGAGTACTGCAGCTAAACTTAACCCAATTTCAAGGTTCTTGTCATAGGGTTCATAATTTAGTCTATGTTCCTTTGACCTATTAAGTCATCTTAAAGATCCTAGTCAACAAAGATTTACAACTATATTGAATTTTTGGTTCTCATTAACCAAAAACAAGGGCTTAATTACCGAATTGGCTTCTCGTTCGTTTATTTAGAAATTAGTAATATCAACCACAAGCAATCTGGTGTTTTTAAGACTAATAACGATGAATAACAACAGCACAATAAAAAGTAGGCAGTTATGAGGTCTATTAACTCGGTGGTCAGTAGGTGGGTGCTAAATATGTCCAACAGGTATTATAAATTTAGAGCTCTAATACATAAATCCCAAAATAAAAGATTTTTCAGACAACTGCTTTACAATCGACTGACGCATTCTATTAGATTTACGAGCTGGCAAACTATCTGGCGTTATGATCATTTCACTGGCCCTATAATGATCACTATATTAGTGGTAAATGTAGTTAAACTCACTAGTATTTATGTGATGTAGGCTACTTATGTTGACAAATATAAGTAGTATGTAACAGCAATCAGAAGTGGGATGCCTGGCAGGAGAATGTTGAAATCGAATTGAAGAGAAAAGGAATGTAAACAGAGGGTAATTGTAACAACAGGAATGAAGGAACGGTGAAGTTTGTAAGAAACAATTGATGGAAGGTGTACAAATGAAGCACTTAACGTATGGTTTTTATATTTTACGAAAGCATCCTTTAATAATGCGAATATATTATTGAGATGTGAAATAAACGATGTAAAATTACTCGACTAATGAGGCGGCTATGATAATCAGAAAATTATAGATTTATTTTCTATATATAAAAAATTACAGAGACAACTTACTGTAAGTGGTATTATAATCCCATTAGGTAAGAGAAATTTTATAGTTATATCCGAACCAACCAGTAGGGAGAATGTCCTTTTAAGTTTAGCAGTTGGAGACATGAAGTTAATCAAGCATTTGGTATGTGAATATCACGCTGAAAAGAAAAAAGGACCAGTACCATAAATCATGATAGTTAAATTAGTTCAGACTTATGTGCAATCCTCTGATCCAGTTACTGAGACAACCGAACTAATCTGTTCTTTAAACCGAATTAAATGAGAAGAATGATGGCTATCAGTAGAATCCAAGACACGGGTTTCGCCCTATCAGTTAGTGGCTATCTGGACTCAATAACTAAAAGGATAATGAGGTGGTGTTCGAAGCAAACGGTACCAGGTTCGAGTCCAGGAGTGAATAAATCCAGAATGCAGTGACATTCGGCTGACGAGCCCAAAGTAGAGTGAAACGAGCGCCTTGAATTTCACTGTTAACCACCATCCATCTCTGCCTATAATTCTAGTGACTTAAGGAAATGTCGAAGCAATCGGATGCATATATCCCAAAAGAGACTGATCTATTGTAGCTGTGAACATCAAATAAATAATACGAAATTGAACTAAGTGGGGAGAAGGTCCATACCTATGAGATAATGACTAAATACAAATTCTTCGTCTGGTAAAAGTTTCAAATCAAATCATAAATAAAAGTTACAGAAACAATATATGCCTTATCACAAATTACTAAGTAAATGATGTTTTGCGTGTTTTGATGTTTGTATTGTGTCAGATAAAAGAACAGACCCATCATTTGAAATGCTTGCATTTCTGGTAGTGTATAAAGGTGGTGTACTAAAAACACACAAAAATGGCTTACGCATGGTTTTTCTATCTAATCAACCCATCCTCCGTAGTAACTTCATTTTCTTAAAAATACTGAATCCACATAATCAGTTAATAACTCAGATGAGAAACACGTACTATTAGTAAGAGGCAAAATAAAGTTTTGACTGTAGACTATCAGCTATAACTTTGATAATGACTCCACAAAACGGTTTATATTTTCAAGACAGTACACAAACAGAAACCGGGATGAATCAGAATGGAATCTAAGATGTTCAAAACAAGGAGACATATTGATATCAAACGGCTATTTCACAAAATTGGGAGAGTAAGATGTCGAACGAATCAGTCAGCAACAACGGAGAACTTTGTACGTACGTACAACAGTTCAGGTTGTCATACCACATTAGCACAGAGATGCAATTGTCGATCGAAATCCCATAATGGTAGGGGCAGTAAAAGTATAGGCAGTGATCGAAAAGATTAGATTTTGGAGATGTTATTCGAGGAGTATAATCCAGTGAAATAGATTTGGAAAGAGAAAAAAGGGACATGAAGAATTCGGAAGATTAGAATTTGGGGGAACACAAAGAGTGAATGCACCTGATCACACCATTTCAAACGATTTTGAGCCATGTCATTCATTATTATTTCTTTTTATTTGAACACATGAATATTGGTACAAGAGAGCGCCAATATAAATGCGCCACACAAAACAATGAAAATTCGGAGAGAAGTAGAAAAAAAGACTAAGGAGCGCAAAAGAAAAATAGAACAATAACGAAGAGATTGGTGTAAAGGTAGTGTGGTAGTAACGAGGGAACGAAAAGGTACAATCAGAAGAAATCTTTCAGGTAAGGGAGACACAACCACTTTTTATGAAGAAAGTAAAAGAAGGTTACAGCAGGATCGCCACTGGCTTCTATTCTGAGCCATATCTGATAACGTCTCTAGCCACTGTGTAGCACCATCTCTCGGACCCCAACCAGGGAGTCGTGAAGGACCGACAGAAGCCAGTCCTTTGCAGCTTTCTTTCATGCCACGACACCGTATCATACAATGACCACCTCTCCGCTTTTTCCAACCAGTCCCAGAGTCGGCAAATAGTGCACGACGTGGAATTCTCTGGGACGACATTCGGAGAACATGTCCAAGCCACCGAAGTCGGTGTTTCAAGATGGTGACACCAATTGCATTATCATCTCTGTGCCCGAACACACGATGCCGAACCTCTGCATTACTGACATGGTGTTGCCACTGAATGTCAGCAATCCTTCGGAGACAGCAATGATCGAACACAGAGAGTCGTCTAACGTCCTCAACTCGGAGAGACCAGGTTTCACAAGCATAGAGCAGAACTGCTCTCACCGACGCGTTGTAGATTCGACCTTTTACAGCCAGACTAACATCACGAAGGCGCCAAAGGTGGCCCAGATTGGCATAAGCCGCTCTGGCTTTCACTGTTCGTGCATTGATCTCATCACTCACACCCCCACCAGCACTTATGCAACTACCCAGATACACGAACTCCTCGACTACTTCTATCTGTTCACCGTCCAGGGTGAGTACAGGATTGGAATCCTGCCAGTCTTGTAGAAGTACTTTGCACTTCGAAGGTGCAAAGCACATACCATACCTACGGACACTGATTGCCAACTGATTAAGTGCGGATTGCATGCCTTGGGCATTATCGCACAGTAAGACAATATCGTCCGCATACTCAAGGTCAAGAAGTCTTTCTCCAGGCAACAGATCCACACCACCATTACTTACATTCATCAGAGCTGTTTCCAGAATGTCATCGATGGCAAAGCTGAAGAGAAATGGTGAGATTGGGCAACCCTGCCTAACCCCACTGCTCGAATGGAACAACGGAGAGAGGTGGTTGTATGCCCTCACTCTGCCTGAGGTGTTTGTATATAGGGCTTTTAGGATGTTAATAAACTTCTCAGGCACACCCTTCTTCAACAGACAATCCCAGAGAACAGTCCTGTCCAACGAATCGAAGGCAGCCCTGATGTCAAGAAACACTACGATCGTTGGCCTTTGATAAGAATGGCGATGTTCTAACATTTGGCGGAGGGTGAAGATATGATCAATACATCCTCGACCAGAACGAAACCCAGCCTGCTCCTCGCGAGTCAATCTTTCTCGAGTTTCGAACAACCTACGAAGTATGACGGAAGCCAATAGCTTGGACGCAATCGGAAGTAGACTTATCCCCCGATAGTTGTTACAGGAACGACGTGAACCCTTTTTAAAGATAGGGACAACTATCGACTCATTCCATGACATCGGTACACTCTCTAGCTCCCAAACCTTTGTAAACAACGTCGTCAATTCCTTAGTCAAAAAGTCACCACCATCTTTAAAAAGAGCCGGAGGTAAGTCATCTGGGCCAGGTGATTTGTAACGTTTCAAGAGTTGGAGTTCCTTGCGGACTTCCTCCTCATTTGGTGGATCAGTCGTCACCGACCATGGAGGGCAGGACAGTCTGACCGATGTTGCCGGAGCAGCAGGCCAGTTGAACTGCCTTTCGAAAAATTCTGCCCACCGTCCAAGACGTCGATGGATGTTAGTGATTGGCATTCCATCATCCTCGCAGATTGTTTCACTCACACCAGACTTCTTGCTGCCAGTGGCTCGGATGAGTTGGAAGAGCTTCCGGTAGTTACCAGATGCAGCTGTTACCTCCAACTCATTAGCACGCTTCAACCACCAGGCTTCTTGGTCCTTGAGCAAGCTTTGCCCAATTTCCTTACGTAACATCCTTCGTTTGTGGTCAAACTCACGGTCACCCGGAGTAGACCGACGGGCTTCAATGAGTTGTAAGGAACCAGAAGAAACCCAGTGCTTAAAAGCGGGACGTTTCGCAAACCCACTGTTCCCGCCATTTTCATGGCGTCATGCAATTGCAACCAATGCTCATCCATACTTTTCGGTGGAATGGTAGCTAGCCTAGAAGCTAGCTCGGTTCGATACTTACTTGCAACAGAAGTTACAACCAGCTTGCTAACATCAATCCGTTGGTGGCGGTCACTTCGTTGGCCACTGAAAAGTAAGGTAAGATTGGCGCAGACCAAGGCATGGTCAGAGTCCAGATAGGTACTCCAAAAGGAGCGGCAGTCTTGTACACAACCACGCCAGCGGTAGCTGATCACGATGTGATCAATCTGAGTCCAGGCTTGAGATGCAGAGGAAGGACACCAGGTAGCACATCGGCGATGACTGTGCCGGAAGTTAGTGCTAGCCAGAAACAGGTTGTGGTCTGTGCACAGTTGCAGTAGACGGTCCCCGTTATCTGACCTGCGACCAACGAGTCCCCATCGGCCACCTAAACGACTCTCTTCTGTGCCTAGACGCCCGACCTGAGCATTCAAGTCCCCGGCTAGTACTACAATATCTGTCGAACGCACTTTCTGGAGAAGAACAGATAACTGGTGGTAAAACTCATCCTTGATTGCATCCGGGCTGCAATCTGTCGGGGCATAGGCGGAGATGACGAAAAGACATCGTTTCTCACGCCGACTTCTTCTCACTTTGATGGAACTTTCTAATCTAACAGCACATAACCGACTGTTAATGGGGATCCAATCGATTAGTGCTGCCTCAGCTCTAGCGCTTAGTGCGACACCAACGCCAACAAGACCAGACGAAGACGCCACAGGGTCCCCGGATAAGCGCACGTAAAACAAGCTTTTTGAAGCGACAGATGGAGATGGAGGTCTCTAACCATCGGTTTCTATCGTCTCACGGATCCCAACCAAGTAGTCTACACCTACCAACATGGCTCAATCCACTTGTCAGTAACTTCATGGGTTTATGTCATGTTTTGGTCTGGCCACCCCTAGCTTTCTCCCAACCTAATCCTACACCATAAAACATCGCACATCGGTGGTTGGGCATACGTAACACATGTCCCAACCATTTCAACTGATGAAGTTTCACTACTCCATCAATTGGTTTGCCATCCTTACCTAGTACCCGTGTCCTAACAACCGCGCTACTCACTCGATGGTCCTAGGATATACGAGCAATGTTTCGAAGACACCTGTGTTTAAATACTAGCAACCCACGAATATTCTCTAATCTTACCGGAAGGAAAGTGTCATCTCTAAAAGCACCTCAACGACAAAGTTGAATAAGAATGGAGAGAGTGGACAGCTCTGACGAACACCACTTGAGGTAATCAATTCTGATGACAGTTCGCCATAAGCTCTTACTCGATAGGTTTGTTCTAGTATAGAGCCTTTATAAGGTTAATGTACTTATTTGGTAAATCTTTCAATGACACTGCAAAAGAACCTCATGATCAGGGTCAAATGCTGTCTTAAGGTCGAAAAATACTACTATTGTGGAATGTCTGAATGTGTCTGTGTCCTAGAACCTGACGCAGTGTGAATATTTGGTCTATACAACCATGTCCAGGTCGAAAACCAGCCTGGTTTTCTCTAGTTTGCTCTTCATGAGCTTTAGTTTGGCATCGAAGTATTATTGAAGCTAATATTTTAGACACTATTAGTCAAACTGATTACTCTGTGATTGTCACCAGAGGACTTTAGTCCTTTCTTATAGACTGGCACAATCAGTGATTGAGACCAGTCAGATGGGGTTACGTCCAGTTCCCAGATTCTACTTAAAACCTCAGTCAATCTCACTGCTAACACTGAACCGCGATCCTTGAAAATCTCAGGGGTAAACCTGAGATAAATCGTACTTAAATGAAGTGAAATTGAATGGAACTCCTTTGCAATAACCACTTCTACTTAACAACAACCTACTTGTAAATCGAGAATTTATAGGACCTGATACCCTATGACACCAGTTCAACGGCCGATATATATAATCCACATAGGCCATCCGCAAAGAATACAGGCGTTGTGTTACTTTTTACAGAAGATACTCCGTTCACATAGTGGTGTGGACCAATCTCCACAGCCTCCGAATATACTCAGTACGCGAGCAGCTGGTTGTTGGATAATGCATTCGACTTATACCTATTAGTTTGTAGATTATAACGTTTTTTTCGTTCACCGGGGTGTATATAGCTCGATAATGTCACCAACTTTACCACTGAAAAGTACAAACTGAAGTCGAGCACATGAGTTCGCATATGATTGCTGAATTTCACTGAAGGTAATCCAATTTATTGAACATGCTCCAAAAACATGAAATTCCCCAAATGCCCTGGTATGGCCGAGAGTGGGGTGGGTTCGCCCTCCCTCTCGAAATGCTCTCACACGGCCACGCGTATACAGCCTCTGCCAGGGAAGTCCTACTCATTACCTTCTCGTGGCGAGGGTGTTGTTTACGAAAATGAGAGGACGAAAAGCAAATGTCCAGCGCTTTAACCGGATTCCAAACCAATGGTACACATGGGCTCCAGTATCCTGAGGGAACAAATGGCGTATGAACCGATCGCTGGTCACCGGCTACCATGGGAATGCATCTCCTCACGATGCTCCACTGCCTTGTGGATCAGACCTTTAGGTCAAAGGCTCGGGGTGTGGCCCCTTAAGAAAACCACCTGCTTCGGTTTGGGCACCCGGGCAGTATCACAGCCCACACACACAAAAATATGGTGTGGCGCATATGTATTTGGTGCCTTCTTGTACCGATATTTATGTGTAATAGTTAAATAAATAAATTTAAAGAATTGGTTGATTTTGTATAACGGCATAAATGCTCATATATGTTTCATCTGACCTATATTTGGTATGTTATAAAAACCGACCAGCAATTTAAAACCAAATGATTCATAGAATAAGTGGACATGTAGAACTTAGATTAAACAGTCTGACACTTTGAGACTGATTCCTACTGAATAAACGGGAATTAAACGGATTATAATCAAGTGATATGTGCTGTGAGAAAAGTAGGTGGGACTGACTACTAAAGATGCTGAAGGTATATGGACAATCATAAACTTACTTGAGAGTCTACAGGCTCTCATCCTATAGGATGATCAGCGAGGATTCATAAGTCAAATCGTGAACTGAATCATCAGAAATACATTTGAAAATCAAGGGATACAACTAGATTTTAAGATATCTTCAGTATCCTGGCACTCTAACATATAGTATTTGAGGCTATAAGATGGAAATTAGCGTGGAATACTTCACCTACAGTATAACATACTGCATGGGAAGGTCGGTAAGAAACGAGATAAGGACCTAAGGGTCTTACTTCAAACCACAATAGTGAAGCCACAGATAATTCATCTCCTAAAAACATCATAACGTAAGGCTGGTTGGTGACCATCAACTAAAGCAACCAATAAAGACAAAGGACGAACAAGAAGTAAATAACGGGGACATTCAGTTAGAAAATAAGGGGAAAAGAGTGAAGAGGCGAGTCAAAGTCCCATTTCTCGCCTGTCATGAGGAAATAATGAGAACCTTTCCCTTTTTGTCGTTCTCCATTTGAGATGCCGCCGAATTTTTTACTTTTCGCCTAAATATACGCCTTCATCACTACTTTCCTAGTAGCTACTAGGGCACAACGAAGTGAACTACGCAATATTGTAGTTAAAGAAGGGTAGTCTGAAAATTATTAAACGAAATTAAACTCGATATGCTTACTCCCAGTAAGACTGTCACCCTTTCAAAACTAAGGTTGATGAACAACTGATTATAAAAACGACCTCAACAGCTGATACTGTCCCGACCTTGAAGAACAATTTGTTTGGCGCTATGGATTTCAGCAACTAACAATTGAATGAGCAATGGGTGGTGATCAATATCACGTGTCAAGCCCTTCGTAGTGCAGATCGAATGCTATCGAAGAAGTTTTAACCTGACAACTAATCTAGGATGCTCGAATTTGCGTGCACTATGTTGAGATTAGATGGTGGTTGGAAATAGTCAACAGGAAACCCTAGACCCAGGTTTCGTGCTACTTGACACTTGTCAGCAAGGAAACTTGTAATAACACGAAACCCGGGTCGAGGGTTTCCTTTTGACTGTCTCCAACCACCAGCAAATATCAATATAGTGCACGCAATGTCGAGTAACCTAGACTAGTGGTCACACTGCAACTTCTTCGATAGCATTCGCTCTGCACTAAAAAGGACTTGACACACGTGACGTTGATCACCACCCAGTGATCAATCAATAATGATTATATGTCAGTCCTGTAGGAGGTCGGTCGCGGCCCGGATAGCCTAGTGGTAACGTCTCTGACTGTGAACCTGGGTTAAACGAGATCGAATCCGTCAGGGAGCAACAGTTCCCTAAAGATCACAGGTACACTTTTATCAATAGTGCCAAAAAGCATGAAACCCGGGTCGAGGATTTCCTGTTGACTACCTCTAACCGGGCGAATTTATCCGCAACGCAACCAGGTAAACTTAGTGTATCGCCAAGTGTAATAACGGTCATCTGTGCGTTCAAGTAACCACAGATTTTGTCGTTTCATAAGGTTCTTAACTAAATAACCAGATTATGTTGTTAATTTTGCTGTTTTTAATGTTTATTCGCCACGTCTGACTGCGTTACACAGTACGTTCATTGAACGCTGGGATGATATCCCAGGTCATAGTTTAATCACATAGTTTATTGTTTCCGGATAGACCGTCAGTGCATGGTGTTACTGAAGAAAGGTTTGTTGTACTGTATACTATGTTTTTATGAACAACTGACTGATGTCTTCAGCCTGAAAGCAATATATATATCCTTTGTCTTCTGTTAGGTAAGTTCGACTGGCCTATATTTCGTGTTTTGGTTTTATCGGCTTAATTATATCCATTTAACTACTTTGAGCAACATGTCTGTGCAAATGAAACAATAATTATGACACTTGCTTAGTTTAGTATTCTTGGTTGTCGTATAGTTCAGTTTAGTCGGAAGAATCATGGTACACTTAAGTATAGTGCTTGAAGCCTGTAACGAAACAAATCAGTTTAGCAAATAGAGCTGCCTGTTCCTAGTGAGTAAACTGATTGAAATCAGTCTGAATAAAAATAGAAAAAAAAGCCTCTGGTACTGTTGCTGTCATACATTATAAGATAGCTTTAAGTATGTTTGGTGTTTATTTCTAGTCTGTACATCTATCACTGACCATATTTCAAGACCACTGTCATTAAACAATTTCCCCAGCAATAACATCGGTAGCAGGATAGCTAAGCGTCTGAGCTTTTATTCGCCTGCAGAAGAGCAGTATACAGTCTTAGAAGATGAGTGCTCTGTGTCTCAATTAAATGTAGCTGGCCGTGGATAAATGTTAAGAATCAATTTGACAACTGAGACTTTTAGTTTGTCAGACACTAACTCTGCTTGTATGTCTTCCTGTTAAACTAGACTCAGATGCATGGGAATACTTAAATGGGAGCAGAATAATAAGAGCATTGCGATACGGTACTAAACCCATGTGATGCTTTGCACAAGTAATAATAGCTGACCTGATCTAATATTTATGAACTCAAGGTAAATCAAACTGCATAAATTCTTTGCTAAAAAAACTTGTAATTTGGTTATTTATCTATTCCACATTTCTGACTAAATTCATTACCATTTTCTCGTTTAGAATGCAATAGGATTGAGTCTTCACGGATCCTAAGAACTGTTTCACCCTTAGAACTATGGCCCTATGAAACTCTTTACGGGAGACCCAACTAACAGCAGATTATAAAAAGGATGCTGGACGTCCATTTTAGTCTCATAACAACTTCCAGTACTTTTTGAGTTACTTCTTTTACCCTTTCGTTTGGAAAAAGCAACAAAGACTGAAGCTTAACATTACCAATGCAACTTTTAAACGGGAACTTCGTTTAAATCTTTGTTTGATATTCGATTCTTAATGAAAGTTCCTGAATAAATTTTCAAATCTAATGCTACTTTGTTTTATCTACTTAATCGTTGCAAGAAACTTGCGATACACGAGCCTCGCAGCACCCAGTTCATATGTAGTAAATTTAAGTGATTTAGTACATATCTTCGCCATTTTCTTGGGAAACCTACAGACTCGGGTCCTCTCATAACTTATTCTAACCACCATGAGTTGTCACGGCAGCTGATGGACACGCGTTATACATCCTAACCGTACCTGCGACTAATCTTAAACTCCCCAGTCAAATGCCATATGGTAGGCAAGCAATGCCCCTACCCGCACTAATAGAACACTAGTAACTCAAAGTAGTGTAGGAATCTAGTCTCCCAGGGAGTACGAAGCACTCAAACTGGAAGACAGCTGTCCAGAAATAATTCGTATATGAAGGTGAGAATTTGCAGGTACTTTTCATCGTAAGGGTGAACATATTAGGTAACGGTTGACATCATACCGTAAAAAAACACAAATTTGCGAGTGGTGAAATATGATCTATAAAAAAGTGAGCTTAATAATAGTTAATTACCTTTCTGCTCCCTGATCATGACCCTTCGACTTCCTTTTATGGCCAAAACAGCAAACATACACTACACACTGATAGCAGATTTCCGGCTTTTCAATGTTAAGCTTGCTTTAACGCACTACGTAATGAGTACAACCCCTTCATTACTGCTATATGACATATTTTTCAAAACAAACCCTCTGCAATAGATTGATAGCATCTGTGAATTCATCTATGGTTATCGGAAGTCTGAGTTCTTTCGAAAGCAATACTGATATGCCCTACTGTTGGGCACTCTGTATTAGTTTGACTCGTTGGTGTGATAATGTTGCCCATAGTACCGAAGAAAATTGAAAACCGGAGATTGTTTCACTGCCAAGGTCAAGTACAACCAACGCGCATTAGTTAATCGTATGCCATGGACTGGCTCATGCAGCAGTGCTCTTACTTTCGCTGGTATCTACTTTAACTAATATATTTTTGTATTACCGTCGTCTGTGTTGTTCAGTCTTCAAAGCATCTATGGTACCTTGATGCGTCGATGGGGTAGTTTATGTAAAGCGCTGACCACGATGTGTGACTTCGACCTTAGCTAGTTTGTCACACTATTCAGTTCTAACTCGATTAGGCGTCCAGTCATTTCGACACAGATCATCTACGTTGGTGATCTACAACATGAAGAGGTAGAAATCGGCATACATACAGTGAAATCGTCGGCATATTCATTAAAAGTGTTTTCTGTGGAAGATGGAAAATCATGAGAAAAGAAACAGGAAAGTAGAAAGGAAAAAACAGCTTCTTGTGGCACACCTTCATGAGTCACAAACACTCAACCAGTTATCGCTCCTAATGTGTCTCGTGCCTGGAAGTTCTTTTAGTTTCCCAATCCTTGGAGAGTGTATGGAATATATGATTTTCTGAGTAAACACTGAGTTTAGACGTCTAAACTCGAGGTTTTTATCAGACCACTTGACTTTCGAACTTTGATGCAATTTTTCTCCGTGTACATTCTTCCTTTTATTCCATCGTAATCGTTTTAATTGTTGTGTAAGCTGACCCAAACTTACAAAAGTGGTTTCAGTGGGACAACAAATATCAAGGCAGAATTTGAGATGATAAATTATAACGTGAATGGTGTTTTCCAATGAACCATCTGTAAAGAATTCATAGTTAGTCGTACGAAACATTTTCCAGGTTTTGGGTATTTTCTTCTGGGTAATTCCTGTACTTGACTTTCTTTGTCTGGTGTGTGTGTGCTTTTTCCAAGCATGCCATATACCTTAGGTAGAACACGAGTTATTCAGTGATCAGAACAAGACAATAAAGAACTAGCGAATCACATGTATTCCCATATCATTGATGAGCACTGGTGGGCATCCAAATGAGTGGATGGTGATCTGATGGGTAAAGTAAGTGGCAGTCACATGAATTGATATAGCCACATACAACTGAAAGTAAACCACTGAAGTTAGTAACAGCAAATTTAGAGAACTTATCAGCGAAAACAGATAGTGCAAATGATCTCCAGCCAGGAGTCACATAGACCCAATCTCCCGATTTTGAAGAAAATTTGACCCATTTTGTGTTTTTCCCCAAAATTTCACCGTAATCTTATTATAGCTTTTGCAAACTCGTTTTAACGCAATACTTCTCAACAAATTTCTACAGATATCACGGAAAAGCCAGGCGAGAATAAATACCTACAGTTTTTGCTGCGACATTTCATTATTTTTAGTCAATTACGCAGTGAGCGCAGTGCCAAAGAAACTTAACGTTAATCAAACTATCGCTGTAATTAAAAGACTGATTTGTGACACATTGGAATATTTATTACGGTTTATAAAATTACAAATCACTGAATAATGCATCTTTTATTCATTGCCTTGTAGTGTAAGCACATTACGAAGATGATGAACTATCATTACCAATTTTCTACAAATATAAAAAATATTCCTTAGTTTATAAGCAAATACCATGATATGTAAAACATCGATGACATACCAAAGGTATAACAACGTTGTTAATTATGCGAACAAAAAACTTACACTTACGTTTTTTAAAACTTGCGAAGCCAGCTGAAAATAAGATGGACGAGAATTAATTTCTTTACTGACAGAAAAAAATTGTTTCACTTTAAATATTTATCACAAAGTTATATTGAAACTGCAATATGTAATCAATCAAACATGTAAAGTGCTTTTAGCTCACCCTTTCTTTGGATCGCCATACACGCTTATCTACTTTATCTCTTGTGTCATGCAAGAAGGTCTGGTTTGCAACATCCATGGCGTGTACTACTTTTTCAGGACAGGTTGCAATTCGGAATCGGGAACACAGAACACCTACAAATAT